CTCCGCAGCAATCACAAATATAGACTCCGGGCACAGATTGGTGGTCATGAAATTCAGAGCACGGCAAGCAAGCGAGAAGTACGAACGCATGCAATGCTTAGCGTAAGACCCCAGAGGTCGGACTTTGAGGTGCAAGCTGGATGTTTTCGGCCACACATCGACTCCACCGAACTGGTGATGGCCTGTGTACGACAGCTTAGACTGTAACTCCGAGGAAGCATTGTGGATGGAATTCCAGCCAGGGAAAGAGCGACACACGTTGCCCTTACCAAGGAAAACCTCACGAGCACGGAACTGCCAAGAACGAGGGCAAGAGATGGCAAGAGCTGATGGCATTTTGTCAACGGGGGAGACGACAGCAGTACGACGAAGACGACGACTCCACTCCACCACATCAGATTGTAAAACGCCATACCCTCTGAAGGCGTCAGCTCGAGCAAACATTGCCCCGATTTCCTCGCAAGCATCAGACAAGTCAACACAAACATCCGGAACAACATGTGCGCATTTCGTGTGCAGAGTGTCAACAGCACGCAACAAACTATCGCGAAATTGAGCAAAACTCCAAACGCAAGCCCCCTCAGAATGGAAACCAGCCGGAATGCTGGATGAAATTGCCGTGTTCTGCAACAGGCAACAAACGTGTCCGTTCTGGGAACGGCCCACAGACAATTCATCACAGAGGGCATCACATGTGCATGGGAACTCACAAGTATCAAGTGATTTAGACCAAACTTTTGAATTCACAAGCAAACTCTTCGGGGATGGTGCCTTCAATCGCTTGAACAACAAGTGCACAGACGTACCAATCGGAAGTTGAACGGACAATTGAGAACGGATGGCAGAAGCAAGAGCAGGACGAATGGGGAAATCCAGCAGAGAAGGAAGAAGCAGAAAACAAGAAACAAAAGAACGAGAACTCTTGCGGTCAATAATCTGGAACACTCTCTGGCGAGCCACGGCAAGGCTTGATCCGGACAGCGTCTTTGGCAGACGTTGCAACAACCAGGGCACGACGATGGGTTTGTTATCGCGCAGCCATTTAACAACATGACTGCTGCTATTAGCTTTCCGTCCCATATCGCCCAATCTGAGAACCAAGGCAGACAAGGAAGATCGCTGCATGGTGTAACAACACATGGACCTGCAATCAACCTGAAACGTACTCAAGAAAAAAACGAGGGTTGGAACAACGACGCGAACGAGGACGAGAACCGGACTTAGTAGGATTCACCACCACGCTGCAGTCGCCAGACTTCTCCCATGGCGCACGGACGTGCTTTTTCACAAACGGAACATTCAATTGAGGACGATGGGCATGAATGAACCGTTTTTCAAGCACGCGCAACTCAAAATCCGACGACGACGACAAACAAACGAGAGGGATGCACACAAAACTAGCAACATCCAACGACCTCATTTTGTAATAAGCAGGGATTTGAGAACGAGGCCGGTCGCTGAGCAGATTACCCAAATGCTCACGCATGCGCGCGTCCATCCCCCGATTCGTCTTGCCGACATACATAAAATTGTGATCCGTGGACAACCAGGCGTACACAACATGGGAGGTAAACGAGGGAGAGACACGATCGCAATACACAGCAGACGCAGAGCGAACAATGGCAGAGTAAATTTTCTGATGGTGGCGAGAGGAAGAGAGACCAAGCAGGCGGATGGTAGAGATGGAGTGCAGAAAGTTAAGAATGTCCAGCATAGTGCTCATCTCCGACTTAGCAAGTACAGTGGCTTTCTGACATGAAGAGAAACGCAACCCATGCAAATGGGCTTTGAGACAACGCAAGAGACCGGTAACCTGTCTCCAAGCCTTCACTTGAACGCACCGGCAATGAACATTCGAAGCGACATTTTTTATGATGGTGCCTACAGAGCGGGCGCTGTCGACAGCCAGACGTCGATCCCACGATTCGCATTCAAGCAAACGTCGTGCACGACGCACGTGTGGCAAAGCATACTTATCTTCCATCTCAGTCCAATCCCTCACGTTGATGCGCTGGCAGAAGCAAGGAGAAGAGGAGGAGGAGAAGCACATGCACGTGTCAACATTCATGCCAAGCTTGGAAAACACAGGTGCTATGTAATCGCGCGCGTGCATGCTAGTTTGCCACGTGGCGGGTGAAATATGGAACACGTTACCTACGGATCAGCGCGGCTGGTTCTGTTGCTCCACAATCCTAGCCCAGTCAGAAGCCGATGCTGCATCAGCCTGCCTCGGGCGACGCCTCGGCCGGGGATTTGGAGTGGACATCTCGTGGACAGGAACCCTGCGAACCTCCATGTCGCTCACGACAGAATCCCACGGATGGTTGGACATGCTACCGTTGTTGGCCCACTGGATCTTCACCTGGTAATTACCTTCACCAGGAAGCTGCTCTACACCAATCACAGTGCCGTTCTCATCGTTGTGCCTGACAGAGCAACCCATGGATTCCCCGGGATCAAGCAGAGGCGTCCTCGCACCGGTGTCCTGATCCATCTCGGCTCCCTGGAAGTCAGTGAACAAGGAACGCTCCGCGCGAGGCTCCCGGTGGAAGTCATGATCACGAGGGCGGGAACGATTCTGGCGAAAGGATTCATCGCAACGCTTCCTTTCCAAGAAATCACTCACGGACTCTGCCTGGGGGATCTGCAAGGTTTCGAGCACCGAACGAACTCCGACGACATAGTTATTCCACGTCTCCTCACTGCACGACATTGGAATGAGGCCGGAGATCGCCTGAGCACGACGGACACTGACGTCCCATTTTTCGTGTGCACGAAGAAAAACAGGTACGGCGCGCTCCTTTTTCATCATGTCCCGGAGGCCGGGGAGGTTCGTGGCCACGCTCACAACTTCGAATCGATCAACGTTGTCCGCATGAAGAGGTAGGAATCTACCATGCTCGTCCTGGTTGTGCGTTCTCATATCCACGACTTGCCCTTCGTACACACGCATCGGCGCAGGCCGTGGCGTAGGTGCAGATGTGCCGGAAGCCATTGGGAACTGGAAGGGCCCTTGCGGACGGTATCCGTAGCTGGACTGCTGCTGATACTGCTGGCCAAACATTGGCGGGCGAGGAGCGAATGGATTCATCGCAAAGTAAGGAACGAACAGAAGTACAGTAATCGGAATGTGCATGAAAATGTATAGTATGAGCATGAGTATCAAGGAATAGGAGCGTGCACGGCAAGTTCACTATCCCATTCACGATGAGATGACTACTTCATCGAGCTGTAGCCTGAGCAGATGACAACAGTGCGAATGCGCATGCACGACACACACACAGAAAGCAAATAACACAAACATATTAATTACATGCGTGAATTCGGCTCGACTTACTTTCGCTAGTATATACATGCACGTGGGAATGGGAGCCACGCCGCAGCAATCAACTTGCCATGGCTTCACGAACACGGCCGGAGGTTCTAGCAATAATCATCCGCATCGACACCGTCCCGATTCCGATGTGTTGTCAGAATACACTGCCGATTTCTGATTATTCGAAAGTTCTTCGATTTTTGTTGGGGGCCACGATCTTTTCATTTCTAATTGTTCTACCCTGGGCCTCTTCCTGGCCACTAGGGGCCAGGAACAATGAGAAACGAGCAGAATTAGAAGTGAGCACGATTGGAACTGAACGACGTGTCCGTGCATATGGGCTCTTGAGAACGGGTCGGGTCTCCACAGGGAGGTGCGCAGGCCTTGATGGGTGTTCGACACCGTCCCGATCCCGATGTGGTGTCAGCATCCGATCGTATAGTGGTCAGGAGGGAAAACACACACAGACACAATTAATCGTCGATTCCCCAGAAGATATGGGAAACTAAAGGGAAGTGGGGGGGAAGACAAAAACCAAGAAACTATAGGAACATCTGGGGAATCTCGTCATTTGTGTATATTTATTAGTGTGTCTCAGGGCCCCTTCAGAGCCGCCTCATCCGTCGCGATGACTGGGCCTGACAAGGGCCCCCCGCGAATAGAAGGAAGACTGCCGCGTCAAGTTCCGTTGCAGCGAGACCTGGCTTCGAATTGCGATGTTCAGGGGTGCTTGCACGGGTGCAGTCTTAACCGCGCCAGTCGGAGCCGGAGTTTCACGTTGATTCTGTCTGGTAAAAGGTGGTTGCTTACCTTCCTTTATACGTATGCACGCATTCTCACGCGCGAATGGACCTCGGGAGAGGTCGGTTGATATTTGCACTGAACCTGCAGTTGGGGAAGTTGTGGGGTGATCTCTGGGATGTCAGATCGCATGGGGAGGACGCATGGTGAGAGGGACTCGCCCCCGTAGCTCGTGTGGCTCCCACCTCCACTGAGCGATCTCTGATCCTCATGTACTTTGCTGCATTCTCTTGGCGGTCTGCATGCTAACGTACCCATCGGTTGTTGAACATAGGTATTTTTAAAATCCCAGATTCCAATCTATTTTGAGCGCCTTCCTACTTCAATGATCGAGTGGCTTCACCTTTTCCGTCCTCTTTAGGGGGCGGGCGGACACCCAATATTTGTTCAATGCCTTCCTAGTTCATGTTTCTACCTACTTCCTTCGACCGATGGGTACTTTGCTGTACTGTTGGCGGTCTGCATGCCAAAAGTATCCCAGTTCAGTGTAGTTGCTGCTATGCCGCATCTGCTGCTGCTGCTGCTGCTGGTGGCCCTCGTCTTTGCTTTCCTCTGCCTCTGCTCCTCTGCCTCTGCCCCCTCCCTGCCCTCGGGCCAGTCGACAGGTCGAGATGGCTCGTGTCGACTCCTCCGTTTTGATCAGATTCGATGTCGATATATATTTCGATTCAAATTCGATTCGACTTGGGATTGCGATTTGGGTTCCGAAGTCTCATTGGAGGCATAGTAGCCTGCCGATTTCCGCCGATTCGACTTCTCCCGACGTGGCTGCCGATTTCCGCCGATCCGATTCATTTCTATCGCCGATCCGACTTGTCGATTCGATTCTGGGCTCTCCTGCAGGTCTTGCCCCACGAGTGATGGAGGTCGGGTCGTGCTACAATCCGTTCAGGGGACCCGGCCCAGCTGGTGGAGACCGGAGGAGACGGGAGGAGGAGGGAAGGAGGAGGAGGAGGGCGTCGGCCACTTGGACGGAGGGGTCAGTGACCCTTCCCGTTCGTGCCAGGGTCTCCCTCTGCCCCCCTCCCCACGCTGTCCTGGGCGTGCTCCACCTGCCGTCCTGCCGCTGTCCTGTTCCCGCTCTCCCCGCCCACTCCTTTGCTTCTTCACGCTGGCTCCACCGTCGCCCCTCCCCCCCCCTCCCTTGCCTCTCGTCACGCCGCCCTGGACTCATCCGCTCCTTCTTCTTCGAGGAGCCTCCCGCGGGGAGGGAGGTCCCCGACCTTTTCACGTCGGGGACTAGGCCGGGCGGTGGCATAAGTGGTGGATCCTCGTGCGATCCAGTGCGCCACCCGCCAGGCCTCGTCCTCGCTCTCCTCGCGCCGCCCGCATCGTCGCGCCGCCCGGGCCCAACGCTTCCCGAGCCTCGGGCCCGAACGTCCGCGTCCCGAGCTCGTCTGTGCCGAGGCGCCGTCGAGTCGTCCACGTGGCGTCCTCCTCCTCCTCCTCCTCCTCCCCTGCCGCGCCCCCCCTTTGATTCCAGGGGGGGCTGCCGCCCCGCGGGGCGGAGCGACGCGCCGCCTGCATGCAAGGCCCAGCGCGCCGCTGCGGCCGCCGCCGCGACGCGCTGCTTCCCGAGGGATGAGTGCACAGGTTGGCAGGCGCCCCCCTCACGCGCTCGGCCCTCCTCATGCGTGTCCAGCGCGTGCGCCTCGGATGTTCCGCGCGTGGCTTCCCAGCCGTCTCTGGCCTCCCAGCAGTCGCCCGGGGCTTCGCGCGGTTCGGGAGGCGGGCGGGTCTTCCAGGCTCGGTGCTGAAGGGCGCGCTTCTTGGCATCCTGCTTGGGAGCCTGTCTCGTCGCGGCCTGCCGATGAGCTAGCTGTTGGGGAGGGCCAGTTGGGTGTGGTGGATGTAGTAGGGTGTGCTTCGGTTCCCCGAGCCCTTCCAGAAACCCCCATTCGGGTGTTAGTCGTTCGTGCGTTCATTGGCTATTGTGTTATTGTTTCTAAGTGCTTCTCTATGTTCTTTCGGGGGTCCTCCGGTCCCCTCCCCCCAAGGCTCCGGGGGGTAAACCCCCGAACAAACAATTCACTCGAGTTGTTCTAAATGTTTGTTCTGTGGTTTTCGACCACCCCAGGGAGGGGACCCCCAACCAAAACTCACTCGTGTTTTTCTGCGTTTTTTCGGGGGTCATCTGGCTTTTGGAGGGAGTGAGAGCCATCAACAAAACATACCGATCGGTGTTTTTTCTACGGTTCTTCTGGGGAGGAGGAAGAGGGATGATGAGGAGAATGATGATGATGATGAGGAGGAGGAGGAGGAGGAGGAGGTGAAAGGAGGGATGAGAGAGGAGGGAGGAAGGAGGAGGCAGGAGGGGGTGGAGGATGAGGAGGTGAAGACCACAGTGAATTATTCAAAACGAGAATCCAACACAGGAGGGTTCGGACAAAAACATAATGGAGGGTTCCCAGAGGGTTTTCCAGAACTGCAATTTTGAGTTTTTTGTTGGGCTCCTCTGAAACCCACTGATAAAACACATTCAGGGGGATCTTCCGAGATCTGTAATTGGTTCGTTTGATTTTGTGCTGTTTTGATGTTTTGTGTTTGGGGACAATGATGTTTTTCAAGGGTGGGGCCTCGGACCCCCCCCCATAAAAAACACCCCCCACCCTGGGTCTGGGGGGAACGCCCCCGAAACAGAAACCTACCGGGCTTTTGTTCCGGGTCTTTTTCGGGTGGCTCCTGGGGGCAGGCACGGAACTCCTGCACCAGTCTCGGTAGACCCCTCGGTTTTCCGGGTCATAGCTCTGATGGGCTTGTTTTCCACCACCACCACCACCAGTTGGAGGGGGGGGGGAGGAGGAGGAGGAGGAGGAGGAGGAGGAGGAGGAGGAGGAGGAGGAGGAGGAGGAGGAGGAGGAGGAAGAAAAAGAGCAGGAGGACCCCTCCCCCTCCCACCTGTGGTGGTGGCGGTGGAAAGCTCGGCCCCCCAGCGGCCGCTCGGGAGGACCCGGGCGCCCCCGCGCAGAACCCCCGCGGCGGGGCGCGGCTGCCGGACGGCAGCGGCCCGAGGCCGGAGCACCGCGCGAGAGAGCCGACGCGCACGCCCGAAGAGCTCGAGCTTCGAACCTCGGCCCGTGCTTGGGCTCCCGGGTGGGCCCGTCTTTCCACCACCGCCACCACGAGTTGGAGGGGGAGGGGGTCCTCCTCCTCCTCCTCCTCCTGTTCCTCCTGCACTTCGCCCTCCTCGTCCTCCTCCTGTCTCCCCCCTCCAGCTTGTGGTGGTGGTGGTGGTGGAAAACAGGCCCGTCAGCTCCTGACTTCCACGCCCTCGGGGCGCCCCGGATCCGCAGGCGAAGGGGCCGACCCCCTCGACCCGGGCGGGGGCGGGATCAACCTGCAGGCCCTGGCCGTCTTCGCGTCCATCAGCGCCCTGTGGCTGGGCTCTTTGGGGCCGCCTCAAGAGAGTGACGACGATGACGGCGACGACGACGACGACGACGGCGACGACGACGACGACGAAGCCGACGGTGACGACGACGGCGACGGCGACGGCGACGGCGACGGCGACGACGACAGCGACGACGACGACGAGGACGACGACGACGACCACGACGACTACGACACCCCACCTCTCGTTGGAATCACGACGGGAGCTTTTCCGCTGTTTTGGCCTTTTGGGGGCCCTTACCGGGCCTCGGGGCAGTCACAAGTCGATTCAGGATTGAGTCGGTCCAGACTTCTGGCGGTCCACGTTGTGAAATCATCCTGGCGAAGCTTGTGAATGTCCCCTTCAGTGGAGTTCCCTGTGGGGCAACGAAATATGTGAGTGGTGTGCCGAAATGACCCTCTGGGGTCCTCGGTGGAGCTCTTTGTGGGGTCACGAAACATGTGATCGGTGTGCAGACATGGGCCTGGGGACGCATCCGAGCTGTGCCACCGGGGCCACGAAACGGGTGAGGGGTGTGCGGAAATGCGTGGGGAACCGCGTGCGCCCTCCCCCCCCCCCTCCTGGGGGCTTCGGAGGAGGGCCCTGTGGTGTCACGGAACGCATGGGGGGGTGACTATCGAAATAGGTTGTGAACCGCAGGCGAAGCCATCCTGGGGGCTTCGGTGACATTTTTTTTGGGGCCACGGAACATGTGAGAGGTGTGTCAACATGGATGGGGCACCGCATGCGAAACCCTCCTCCTGGGGGCTTCGGTGGAGCTCCCTGTGGGGCCACGAAACATGTGAGGGACGTGCGGAAATGGCTGGGGAACCACACGCGACCCCCTCCCTCCTTGAGGCTCCGTTGGAGCCTCTCTGGGGCCACTAGACGTGTGAGATGTGTGCCGAAAGCATGCGAAACCCCCTCCTGGGGGCTTTGGTGGAGCTGCCTGTGGAGCCACGAAGCGTGTGAGGGGTGAGTCCTGAGGGCGTTAGTGGAGCTCCATATATTGCCACGAAACGTGTGAGCGGTGTGCCGAAATGTGCATGCGGAGGGCAAGGATAGGAGGATGGAGGAGGAAGGATGCTGGATGCTGGATCGGCCTCCCTCCGAAGAGACAGGTCCGAGAAAAGAGAGGATGAAACAGAAAGCGAAACAGGCTTGGGAGAAGGCCTAACATGCGGGCGAACGCCCCCGAGCGTGAGACGCACCGGCATTATGGTCAATCCGGTCGGAAAAAGGCCCCGGCATGCAACAACGAAGTGTGGGCCTTTTCCCCAGTCGCAACATCACATCAATCAACAGACATGTCATACCAATCGTCATCCATCTCAGCGGGTTCGGCCATGCACCACCCACAATTCAAAGGTGCGGAATTTGGGATGTGCACCTCATAACGTGCGAGTGCACGTTTCCGCGCAACTGACTAAACGACTCTCTGTCATAACCGTGTACTGCAGAGCTGGTATGCTACACACTCCTGCCGTGCGACGGTAACACCACGTGTTGGCACCGTTTAGACTGCAGTGTGCAGAGCTGTGTGCACGGTGTTACCGTCAAGGAAGGCGTGGGACCAAGGCTAAATTGGGGGCCACTGCAGTGGGATCCCCAAGTTCACTGTACAGTCTGAGGGTGGCCGGAGCCACTGGGCCCGAGGACACATTTTGCTTCGGATCGAGTCCGCCAAGCAGGCGCCCGAGGCGATCACGGCCTGTGGCAGAGGCCGTCTTCTGATTGCATTGGGGCGCAAGATGTGCTACGTTTGTGGGCAAGTACGAAGCACATGATTTTCATACTATATCTATACATATGTGTATACATCTAGATCGATAAATCGATAGATCTACCCGTCTTGAAAACCACATGCCCCGTACCATGAGCGGCACTGCAGGTGGCTTTCGCCAAGACAAGTTTGTGGCGACTGGACGACCAGCACGCTTCGCATCGGAAACGCATGGCGTCTTGGTCCCAAACCATCTCTCATGAGGTTACCTCGAGGAGGGAAAACAAGGGAGAGAGAGGTGGAGGAGACGGAGGAGAGGCTTGGTGGGGGATACCCTCAAGCGGCAAGCGCCCTTATACGTGGCGTCCCAGGAAAACAGGCGGGTTGGCAGCCCGATCGTCACCACAGCTCGACGGGGCTGTGGGAGAGACTCTTGCCCTGTGGTTGGCCAGCCACAGTAGGTGCGGGCCCGCCGTACCACCCCTGAGAGGCCCGATGGGGTTACTCGAAGGGGTCCCCCGACGTGGGGGGCGCGGGAACGTAAGTCCTTGGGCAACGGGGCCTCCGCTGCTTGAGGCCGGCGGCCAAGTGGGGGTGGTGCCGGTGGCCTTGTCTCGGGGTGGCATCTCGAGGCACCTCGCAACGGCGGCGCGGATAACGCTGGGGGCGGTCCGTGCCGCCGTTCGTGTTGCGAGGTCCGACTGCGTGTGAATTCATGCAGGCACCTTGGGCACCTCCCTTCGGGTTGTGTCGCCCAGGTGTTCTGTCCGGGCACAAAAAAAGGCAAGCGCCCCTATAGCGGCGACTTCACTTCTAGAGGTTCCCGAGTTTTTTCTCCCGTTTTCCTCTTCGCTATCTCTCTCTCTCTCTCTCCTTTTCTCTCTCTCTCTCTCTCTCTCTCCCTCACTCTCCCTATTTTTTTTTGGGGGGGGGCGAAGAAAAAATCCGACTGTAATCCGTCACAGAAGAAATCCTTCTGTAAGCGCCCACAAAGGGAATCCTATTGAAATCCTCTACGAAAGCAATCCTATTGTAATCCTCCGCAAAAGGAATCCTATTGTAACGCGCCACAAAGGAAATCCTTTTGTGGCGGCCAGGAAAGGTGGGGGGGGCAGAAAAAAATATCGGGCGGGGGCGCGGAAACAAAACAAAAAATAATATATATATATATATATATATATATATATTACAAAACGTTTTTTTTTCGCCCCCCCCCCCCCCACTTTTCCTGGCCGCCACAAAAGGACCCCCTTTGTGGCGCATTACAATGGGATTCCTTTTGTTGCGGATTACAACAGAATTCCTTTTGTGGAGGATTCCATAGGACTCCTTTTGTGGAGGAATACAATAGGATTCCTTTTGTGGAGGATTACGCTAGTATTTCTTTTGTGGAGGATTACAGTAAAATTCCTTTTGTGGAGAATTCAATAGGATTCCCTTTATGGAAGATTACAATAGGATTCCCTTTCTGGATATTCCAATCGGATGTTTCTTTTGTGGACGATCGCAAGAGGTTCCCCTTTGTGGCGCATTGCACTAAAATTCCTTTTGTGGAGGATTCCAATAAGATCCCTTTTGTGGAGGATTACATTCGAATTCCTTTTGTGGAGGATTCAATCGAATTCCTTTTGTGGAGGATTACAATAAGATTCCTTTTGTGGAGGATTGCAATCGGTTCCCCTTTGTGGAGGATTCAAAAAGGTTTCTTTTGTGGAGACTTACCATAGGATTCCTTTTGTGGAGGATTCAATAGGATTCCTTTTGTGGGTGATTACAAAGGATTCCTACTGCTGCGGATTACACTAGGATTTCTTTTGTGGAGCACTTGAACAGGATTCTATTCGCTATTTTTCCCCTTTCTCTTCTTCCTCGGCAGCTCCACTTTTCTTGGTTGCCACGATGGGGTTCCCCCTGTTGCGAATGACAATGAGATCTCTTATTTGTAAGAAGGTACACTGAAAAACTATTGCGTTCAACGTTACGCTAGAATGCTCTCTGTAAAGAACTCCAACACAATTCCGCTTGACGGCGGTTTGTAATGGCGAACGTAAGTGAATACTACACACGCGAGAGATGAGCGATTCTTTCTTCACTCACTGCATGGCCTCTCGAAACGCACCCCTCGTACAGTTTGCAAGCAACAACGCCTCTGCAATTCCAACCTTAAACGGTCACAGCACTATTCGCAATATTTTGTGTAAGGCCATTCATTGTTTGAATGCCCTCTCTCGTGCAAGGCGTTAGCAAAGGGCGGGCCCCGCTCACTGCTTAGCCCACCACTTCTTCCACGCGCGGAGCTCTTTGGCGAGCTCCGCGTGGTTCTTCAAGGAGGAGCCAAGGTCGCAGCTGGTCTTGGCGTAGCTCTTCTTGAGAGCCTCAACGTGGCGTGTTGTGGAATTGTCATGTTACCACGGGTTTTTACATTTACTTCAAAATCTTTATGTAAATCGATTTTCAAAGGGACGCGGCCTCGTGCTTGTAGTAGTCAGAGCTTGTTGTGCTCCGTCATCCAGTGGTCAGCCCTGGTCGTCTGTCCGTAGAGGTTCCTGTAGTGCTGGTTGCTGCGCCTCCTGGGGAGGAGGGGGGAAGGGAGTTCAGGGGTGCAATAATAATTATGTGTTGTGTTTTAGCGGGGTTGTTTGTAGCGTAATGGTTGGGGGTATGTCGTGGATTTTACCTTCCCCCGGGGTCGTTGCTTGCTCTGCCTTGCTGCGAGCTTCGGCAAGAGCTTTTTTCAGTGGCGCCACGGCGGCCCGCGCAGCCTTCTGCACCACCTTCTTGATCTCGGGCTTTTTCAAGAAGTTCACCGCCCTCTTGGTGGCCAAGCGCTCCTTGTTCGCCTGCTGTGGATAGACGATGGGTGGTGGAGTTTGTTTCTTGGTTTTTCGGTTGTTTTTTTTGTTTGTTTTTTGTGCAATCCGCTTGGGCCTGGAGTTTCTCGTAGTACTTCTTACTCCCGTACGGCGGGTTCCCCATGGCAGTCTTGGACTTTATGTCGAGGGTACAATCGCCAGCAACAAGAATAGCACAATCGAGGCTAAGGAGCCAAGAAGAAGGGAACTCAAATTGCAAAGGGATGTGGGGAGAGGCGGGAGGGATGAACCGCAAGACATCATCAGAAGTACTGCTGAAATGATTGCTTCGATGAAAGCATCCACTTTCCCCTCTCTCGCACCCTTCTTCTACATCTTTCCCCCTCATTTTCCTTCTTCCTCCTTTTCTCTTCCTCCCTCTTCCCTCCCTCAAAACTCCGCCGTGCCCCGGGATACTTTAGTGTAAGCCCCTGCCGC